CCTATATGCAAAACAGAAAAAGAGACACAGATGTATAGAACAGACTTTTGGACTCTGTGGGAGAAGGCGAGGGTGGGATGTTTCAAGAGAACAGCATCGAAACATGTATATTATCTAGGGTGAAATAGATCACCAGCCCAGGCTGGATGCATGAGACAAGTGCTCGGGCCTGGTGCACTGGGAAGACCCAGAGGAACCAGGTGGAGAGGGAGGTGGGAGGGGGGATCGGAATGGGGAATACTTGTAAATCCATGGCTGATTCATGTCAATGTATTACAAAAACCACTACAATATTGTAAAGTAATTAGCCTCCAACTAATAAAAATAAATGAAAAAGAAAAACAACCTGGAAATAGAACTGCCATATGACCCAGCAATCCCACTGCTGGGCATAAACACCGAGGAAACCAGAACTGAAAGAGACACATGTACCCCAATGTTCATCACAACACAGTTAACAATAGCCAGGACATGGAAGCAACCTAGATGTCCACCGACAGATAATGGATAAGAAAGCTGTGGTACGTATACACAATATAGAATATTATTCAGTAATTAAAAAGAATGCATTTGAATCAGTTCTAATGAGGTGGATGGAACTGGAGCCTATTATACAGAGCGAAGTAAGTCAGGGGAAAAAAAACACCAATATGGTATATTAACGCATATATGTGGAATTTAGAAAGACGGCAATGACGACCTTATATGACGACCCTATATGCAAGACAGCAAAAGAGACATAGATGTAAAGAAGAGACTTTAGAACTCTGTGGGAAAAGGCGAGGGTGTGATTATTTGAAACAATAGCATTGAAACATGTATATTATCATACGTAAAATAGATGACCAGTCCAAGTTCAATACATGAACCAAGGCACTCAAAACCTGTGCTCTGGGACAACTCAGAGAGATGGGGTGGGTAGGGAGGTGGGAGGAAGGTTCAGGATGGGGGGACATGTGCACCCATGGCTGATTCATGTCGATGTACGGCAAAAACCACCACGATATTGTAATTAGCCGCCAATTAAAATAAATTAATTTTTAAAGGAAAAAGAAAAAATAAATGACAGGGCTTTGAGCCTGCCAACAGCTGACCAAATGCCTGCTGAGTGTAGAGCAGGCGCTAGGTTAGAGTTGCCAAATCTAGCAAATAAAAATAGGGGACGCTAAAAATGTGTTGTCGTTGATTCAAATTTAACTGGGTTTTCTGCATTTGACCAGGCAGCCCTACCACAGAGGCTGGTGGAGGCAGGGCGTCTGCAGACTTTTCAGGGAGATTAAGGGGCCAGGGTGGCGGCAGAGGAGGTAAGGAGGGGCCCCAGAAAAGTCAAGGGTGGCCATATTGTGCACTTCTCCGGGGAATAACTCTGGGAAGGCGAACTTATCGGCTCTTCCAAGCGTTGGCCAAGGGCTGTTGGGGAAGGCTTCCCTGACTTTTCAAGGCTCCTGCGCCGTGGACTCCCCGCAAGCCCGGCCGCCCTCTGCCGCCGCGGGAGGGGAGGAGGCGAGGGAACAGCCGCCCGCGGAGCAAGAGCCAGCGCGGTAACCCCGCCTTCCGCGCCCGCAGAGGAGGGGCCTGAGCGAGGAACCCGAGAGCAGCGTTCTCTCCACCGGATGACGAGCGCCGGAAAACATGGAGTCGGGCAAGATGGCGCCTCCCAAGAACGCTCCGAGAGATGCCTTGGTGAGTGCGAAGGATGCGCGGCGGGGTGCGCGGCTCCGTGCGGCCATATCCGGGCCCGAGAGGTGGGCCCGGGCGGAAAACCTGGTGATGGGCTTGCAGGCCGAGTTCAGTCCTGCCACGGCCGCCAGGAGTAGACTGGCGTGCCCTGGACCCCGGGGCTCTCTCCCGCCACCCTGGCGGCCCGGCTGGAGGGAGGCTGGCGCCCTCCGAATGCGCAGGCCGGCGGCCCAGCTTTATCTCCTGGACCTTGGGCCCCGGCCACCTAGCCGTCCCTCCCCGTCTGCGAATCCTGACTCGTACGTCCAGGGTTTTGATGCTAAGTTTCCCCGGTAGCCACATCTGAAAATGACAACCAGCTGTAGCCACCTCTACCTAGGGAGGGAAAGCCAACCCGGGACTTTTTCTTCTCTTTGCCCCCGCCCGCACCCCCACCAAAAAAAAAGTTTTCAGCAAAGAGGACTCCGAGGGCATTTGGTGTGATCTTTGTGGGGCTTCACAAGTTAAGAGAACACTGGAGGAGGGCATGGCAAACCTCTCCTGTATTCTTGCTGGAAGAATCCCACTGACCCCAGAAGTCCATGGGGTCGCAAGGACCGAAGCGACTTAGCATGCATGCATGACACTTGCTTGAGAGGAAAAGGATGAGTACAAATTTGGAACCCAGAGAAGCGGGACCTTGTATTACAAATTATAATTATTACCTTCGGTCCAGCCTTCATTTCTATACCTCGGTTAAGCATCTGACATTTATATTTGAATCCACAGGTGATGGCACAGATTCTGAAGGATATGGGAATTACAGAGTACGAACCAAGGGTTATAAATCAAATGTTGGAATTTGCTTTCCGTAAGTTAACATCAAAAATTTGCCTAACTTTTGAATTTGAAAAATCGTTCATTGTAAGAACATTTTCAACAAAATTACTTCTAACAGTTAACGTCATCACATGTCATTATATACACTTATCCAAACCCACAGAATGTCGAGTTCCAAGAGAGAACCATAATATAAACTATCGATTAAGAGTCGGACATGACTTGGCTACTAAACAACAACAGACAAGTGATTATGATAGGTCACTGTAGGTCTGTCAGTTGTAACAGATGTGCCACTCTGCAAGGAATATTGATAATAGGGATGCTATGCATGTATGGCTGCAGGGAGTATATGGGAAATCTCTATATTATCCTAAATTTTGCTGTGAACCTAAAACTACTCAACAAAAATTAAGTTTTAAAGTATGTGAAAAAAATGTCATAAAATTCAGAAAACAATAAAAAGGAGCTCACACTCCGGAACAGTATTTATATTGTGATCATCTGTTTAAAGTTGATCGTATAGATAGAACAATTAGACATTAAAACCAAAATTCATAAACTTTCTGGAAATTAGTGAAACTTTTTATTAAGAAAAGTGGCCATAAATATTAAGCTATTTTCATATGTTTAAAAAATAATGTTTTGTTCTTAAAGGATACGTGACTTCAATTCTGGATGATGCAAAAATTTATTCAAGCCATGCTAAGAAACCTAACGTTGATGCAGATGATGTGAGACTGGCAATCCAGTGTCGGGCTGACCAATCTTTTACCTCCCCTCCCCCAAGAGATGTGAGCAAACTTTTATTTGAAGTTCATTTTACTTATAGTTTTTAATTGTTGTTCTAATAAGCATTTTTTTTTTTTTAGTTTTTACTGGATATCGCAAGGCAGAAAAATCAAACCCCTTTACCGCTGATTAAGCCATATGCAGGACCCAGACTGCCGCCTGACAGATACTGCTTGACAGCTCCAAACTATAGGCTAAAGTCCTTAATTAAAAAGGTAAGAATTTTTAGTCATCTTAGCTTTTTAAAAGGGTAAGATGTGTTAAGGGAATTTGTAGAGAGCAAATTCCTGTAAATAGTGCAGGAAATTAAAGGCTAAGATAAGTTAAATGCTAAATTTATAATCTAGAATGAGGGAGCTACTGAAAACCGTTATTAAAAATGAAAGTTTAAAATCTTTTTTAAAAGTTAAATGAGTTTTCTAAAGTGTGAGACCTAAGCATATACTCTGTTCAGTTTTAAAGCCTAAACTTCATGCTTACTTAAATGTTAACAATTTCCTTATGTTTCCGGACAAGGAAACATTCACTTGCTGTGAATTTTCCTGACAAAATGAAATATTGCTTCATTATCCATCACCAAACTGTTTGTGCCACTCCTCAATACATGGGGAAACTTGCCTAAGATGGAGGTATGTTAGGCTTTTGTTAGATGCATGTTAATTTAGCTTCATGGGCATAATAGACACTTCTTATACCCAACAAATGACAGAGATTAAAGTGCCATATATAATACTTTATAAGGTATATAGTAGAAAATATTATAGAAAATAATATAATAGAAATATAATAGAAAATAAAATACTGTATAAGGTAATTAATAGAAAACTTAGGTCATCACTGGGATGACCCAGAGGGATGGGATGGGGAGGGAGCTGGGAGGGGAGTTCAGGATGGGGAGCACATGTACACCCATGAATGATTAATGTCAGTGTATGGCAAAACCACTACAATATTGTAAAGTAATTAGCCTCCAATTAAAATAAATTTTTTTAAAATAAATAAAAATTTAAAAAAAGAAAACTTGGGCCTTTAATTCTGCAGTTTATTTAAATGTTCAACTTCACAAATTCTTGTAGCTAAAATTCAGTGCCAAATGCTGTGTGAAGAGTTTTACAGGGATTATTCAATTTTCACAAGAATCCTATGAAATAAGTATTGTTATCCCCATTTGACAGATAAGAAAACTGAGGCACAAACAGATTAAATAACTTGCCAGGGTCACTCAGTGATAAAGCCTGGATTCAAACTCAAGCAGGTAGGCTCCAGGGCCTACATTCTTTACCACTATACTATCCTGAATTTTTAGCATCTAAACTATTGAACTTGTGAACATTTTTGAAGTTCAGTTCAGTCGCTCAGTCATGTCCGACTCTTTGGACCCCATGAGTCGCAGCACGCCAGGCCTCCCTGTCCATCACCAACTCCGGGAGTTCACTCAAACTCATGCCCATCGAGTCGGTGATGCCATCCAGCCATCTCATCCTCTGTCATCCCCTTCTCCTCCTGCCCCCAATCCCTCC